ACGGTGAGTGAAACACTGTTAACCTACTACACACGCACACACGCACACATTACAATTTGCCTTGATTATGATTACCATGTCTGTGCATGATGTTTGCCGAGGAATGTTTTTTATGAGACAGACTCATCAGCCTGTTGTTTTGGGTATAGAGCATGTGATGTCCAGTTTTTTTATATAGACACAAAGGAAATTATGTGTATGTGAGTGCAGGTGATGTGCTGGAATGCTGCTTTTGTGTGTATATAAGCATGTAGGAGTGAGATGGCATCTACAATATCCAATCCTGTGAACACTTGCATACATACACATTTACGGTAGGACTAAAAACATGTGTAATAGGTTTGTATGTCTTTATGCATACTGTATATGTGTTGCTTGAGTGAGCGTGTGTCTTTATTTGTGATTCTGCTCTTAATAATTTATCCCGTGGCCTCCGCGTCTTTGTTTCTAACGGTTCTTCGCTCTGCCGTTGACTTCGATGGCCTTCTTTTGTGCGTGTGTGCATGAGAAAGAGAGAAAAGGGACCAGAAGGACTGGTTCAGGGGTGAATATCTAAAGGGCGTTTCTATTTACTTATGTGTTGCAAGTCTCAGTAACAACATACAACCTGTCACACGCACGCATAGTTGACCTTGTGCATTCACAGGAAGTTAGTACGGCGTGGGGTGAGAACGAGTGAAATATGTGCTGAACTGGACGTGGAGAGAGATGCTGCTAAAGTGAGAGACTATTACATCACGTGTGTGTGTGTGTGTGCGTGCGGGCTGCATGCTCGGGAGTCAAATGACACATCGCTCAACTAATTATCCTCTCTTCACACACACAAACTTGCATATTATCACACTCTCAAACTTGCATGTTCTAGGAAACGTAATGCACGGAAAATGTTCACGTGTTGAGCAACTCCAAAAGGTGTTTGCAGAAACTCTCACTTGCGCACACACACACACACATGCAATATAACCTCTAAATGTCTGCACATTTTTCCACTGTGCCGTTTCGAATGACAGCCTGGTGAATTGGTGTTGCGTTGCGCAAATACGCACACACAGACACACACGCTGTGATGGATGTGGCAGGTGACAAGGCCGAAGTGTCACAGAAAGGGAGTCTAAGACAGCAGCGGCCATTTTACAGCAAACCGGCCTGGCGTAAACAGAAGCAACTTGTAATCTTGTGCTCAATGATCTGAGACACACACATTCACAGCATTGCGTTACACAACTAGTGTTACATAATGGTACGTCGTTATAATAATAATATTCCCGTCTCCGTCATGTGCTGTAAGTGTTTCAGTGTCATATTACTGTATTGCAATTAACTAAATAGTGTCTGCAGTGCCAGTTCTACTATGGGTTTGTACCCTGGAGAGCTGTATTACAGTAAGCACCGCTCTATTGCAAATGGCTTTGTACCGGGAGGAAAGTTCTGTTGCTCAGATGTTGCACTTTCATAGCTCAGGGGACTTAAAGGATACTTCAGTTATGTTTGATTGAGGTATCAAGTTTGTCTCTGATATTTCTCTTGAAATTCTATAGGAGAAATACAATTAGGAACAAATGAGACAATTGTTATCATACGACATAACTTTTATGTCAGCTAAACCCCTTTGACCTCAAATATGTACTTGAAGTTGACCCTGATATTTTAAAATAATATTTTAATAATTTAACAACACATCAAGTTTTATTTGATAGTTTTTTTATTTTTAAATTATTGAAATTTTTTTTTATTATTTAATTCATTAGTTTCATTAGCTCAGTGTTTCAGTGTCATATTACTGTATTGCAATTAACTAAATAGTGTCTGCAGTGCCAGTTCTACTATGGGTTTGTACCCTGGAGAGCTGTATTACAGTAAGCACCGCTCTATTGCAAATGGCTTTGTACCGGGAGGAAAGTTCTGTTGCTCAGATGTTGCACTTTCATAGCTCAGGGGACTTAAAGGATACTTCAGTTATGTTTGATTGAGGTATCAAGTTTGTCTCTGATATTTCTCTTGAAATTCTATAGGAGAAATACAATTAGGAACAAATGAGACAATTGTTATCATACGACATAACTTTTATGTCAGCTAAACCCCTTTGACCTCAAATATGTACTTGAAGTTGACCCTGATATTTTAAAATAATATTTTAAAAATTTTTACAACACATCAAGTTTTATTTGATAGTTTTTTTATTTTTAAATTATTGAAATTTTTTTTTATTATTTAATTCATTAGTTTCATTAGCTCATAAATCACTGGGCTTTGCTTGACATAATTTGATGAGAAATATTTGAGCTTGGCATCTCCGAGTTCAGCATCTTTTTAAAAAACAATCTGAGAACAGTTTGAGACATTGTCGGGATCTCTTCTGAAACTTCAGAGGAAACAGTTCTGAGATTACTGGAGTCTTTTTCACGATAAAAAAATGCAGGAGATGTAAGCATAAGCCTCCATTTAATCTCATCTGAGAAAAAAAATGAAATATTAACAGTATTACTAACTAATAAAATATTTAAATGAAATAAAAATCCTTTTAAATATTCAAAAGCTCACATTTGTGATTTTTCTTTCTCATAGGATATAATGTAATTGTATTGTCCATCACTGCACAGAACTGGAATATGTTAAATAGTCTAACTGATGATACAGTAGATTATTGAAAAGATTTGAGAAGCACAATGTTGCAATATTTGTGTTGAAAGTTAATTGCTCATTTGTTCTTTCCTAATTTAAGATGCCTAGACTACACACAGAAGGAATAAACCTTGAAAACCTGAAACCCAGAAAGTGAGCTGATTCGGAAAATAAGCCATGACATGACAGTGATACTGTTGTTACCAATATGTCAAGGTTTATTTGAGTTTCACCGCAGCTACTAAAGACACAAACCACACAGCTCACACACTAAGTCATCTATGCAGAGTCAGGCAGAAAACAAGAACTCACCTTTAAAAGTCATATTAAGTACAGAAAAAACTGACTACCCTTCAAACTCTCTCTGCAGTCTCGTCACTGGCCCCATATCGCTGCCTGTGGAGGCTGGCATCAGGGCCAGCTGATGCCACAGCAGATCTGAGAAGTGCAGACATGCAACTCAGCACTGCACCTACAGTGGGTCGCAGGAGGAGAGGAAATCCGGACAGCCAAGGTGAGCCCAACACACACACACACACCTTCACTCTTCTGAAGGGGATGGGCTTAAGGACCGATTACTTTCATACAGTTTTACATGCTTTTTGTGACTATCAATGATCTAAATCAATTATTTACATACCACCAGAGTGCAGACTGATGCGTTTCAAGAAATGATCAGTTTCACTAATATGTTTGTGGAAAGAAAGGTGGTGTGTGGGGTGCCCAACACACACACACACACACACACACACACACACACACACACATTCCCTCTTTTGAAGGGGCTGGGCTTCAAGAGGATTTAAGTACTGATTCCATTCATACCGTTTTAAATGCTTTATGTGCAAATAGTGACTATCAATGATCTAAATCAATTATTTACATGTTACCAGAACACAGACTGATGATGCATTTCAGGAAATTATCAGTTTTATTAATATGTTTGTGGGAAGAAAGGTGGTGTGTGTTGATGTATGTGTCCGTGTGGGTGTGTATAGAGTGGTATAGAGTGCAGCAAACATCATAAGCTGCCCCAGCAACAGATGGATTAGGATGGCTTTAGTTAATGTGTGTCTGATTAAAGATCTGCATGAAGCAAAGCAGAAGCAACACACACACACACACACACACACAGTTCTGCTGCATTGTGACATACTACTGTATAGTGAAAATATTTATTTTCTGGTATAGCGTCAGACTTAAAATCTGTATTGTAAGTCAATACTTAGTCCATATAGCTTTCGTTTTTCTGGGAAACACAGAGCTTTTTGAAAGAATATCCTAGCCAGTCCTTTCAGTTTAATAAAAGTGAACGAGGAGCTCCAAAATGACAAAGCACCATAAAATGATCTTAAAAGACTTCAAAGGCTTCTGAAGCCATAAGCTAGCTTTGTGTGAGGAAAAGCCTGTTCACTGATTATTCACTGATAATCTTGACATCCATACTAGCTCTACTTGATATGTTTATTAGAGATCTGTGAATGAATCTGATCCTTTCAATTAATATGTTGATCCAGTTGTAAAATGTGTTTGAATGATACAATCAGAAATCTGACCGACATGGTAGTCGAAATGAATAGTGAATATAGTCTCACTACATTATGGCTTTAAAAGACTATAGAGAATAGAATATATAGTATTTAAGTCATATGAACTACTTTTATGGTGCTTTTGTGTAGGGCTGCACGATAAATCGCATGCGATATTTAACGCGCATCTTGTCAGAAAGCCGGTTCGTCAGTGAACAACGGCTCTGTGTAGTTAATGCTGCTCAACGTGAAAGCACGCACGTGATGGAGATTTACCGCTGATTACAGAGCCGGCTTTCTGACAAGATGCGCGTTAAATATCGCATGCGATTTATCGTGCAGCCCTACTTTTGTGTTATTTTGTTGTTTTAAAGCTGCAGACCCCTTTACATTTTCAGTGCATGGAAAGAAGCAATCAGCACTGTCTTCAAATTTCCAAATTTCTTTAGTAATTTGCTTTATTTATTCTGGGAACTGGAGTCCTCCTGTTAAAATGAGCAAATCCTAAAAGCTAAGAAAAGAGGGACACTTCATAACATTGTAGTGTAGGCACAGAATAGACGTTCATCCTATTTTAAACTAGGTCCACTCGCTAGGAGATTTCCGTCCTTGCCACTGACATACAGCCTTCTTTGTGGCTACAGGATTGTTCTGAACACATAGGGAACATGAACACAGAGAAAGAACATTGTGTTTCAATAACAGCAGTCATATGCCTATCCTGATGTGCTGACACACATTTGTTCTCAGCCGAACAGAAGGGATGAGAGAAAAAGGGGAACTTGTGCTGGAAAGAAGGGATATACTGGAAATTGAAGGTTGATGGCCAAAACAACAATTCTAGAATCATTCACAACTACATAGTTTAGAAGGACGGGTTAATTATTGAGATTACACAGAATTGTGTGAGTGTGTATGAGAGAGTGTGTGGTTGTGATGATTGTATGTATCTCTGATTACAGAGGGATCAGGGTGTTGAGGCTGGTCAGGATCAGATATCTGAGTGCTGTAACTGCATCTGTCTGCACTCAAACTTCCAAACACACGCACACACACAATCAGCAATGAGACAACTGGGAACTCAACATTTAAAACCTTCGTATCCATTGATAGCATGTGATTGTTTCACACACACAGAGAAACATTGCTCCCCACCCTCTTACACAGTTGCATAAAAGAGAGGTGACGAACAGTTGGCAAATGTTTGTTTTGTCATGGCAGAGCAGAGCAGAGGACGTTTTTTGTTTAACTCTGAGGCACATTATATTCCCATCATACAACTGAAAAAATTCATTATTTTTTGCGTTATTGATTTTCAGTAAATAGCAGGTCAAATTTGGGTCTTTTCCTTAAACAAAGCAAGCGTATGGCTTCGGAAGACTTTTGAATATAGCACATAAGTAATATAGACTTTTATAGTGTTTTTTTTGGTACGTTTTTTTTTTTTCATTTTTGGAGCTTGACAGTTCCAGTCTCCATTGATAAAAAAGCATTTTGGACTTTCTCAATATATCTTCTTTTGTGCACCAAGGAGGAAACAATTCATACAGTTTTGAAGTGACACGAAGGCAAGTAAATAATAACACGATTTTCATTTTGCGGAAAAATAACCCATAAAGAGTGCACCATAAACAAATCAAAACAAGTGAGTTAAAAAAAAATATCCTGAAGGTGCTGCAACAGATAGCAGCTACTTTCAGCAACTGCAACAAAAATACTGCTGTCTAGAGGTCTGTTTTTACGATCACATAAGCTCCAGTTTAAAATAGTGTAGTGGGAGAAGCAGCTACAGGTTCAGTTCTGTCGAGCACTGGTCCCCTTCATTAAATACTGTACATGTGATTCACAGTGGCACTAAATCAACACCTGTCACATCTTTCAGAACAATCAAAGCAGCTTTCAGGAGGAAATGGCTTATGTCAACTCTTTCATACACATCTGTTTTTTTCTTCTTTCACACAGGTCTACTAGGTGTGCTGAGTGTGTGTGCTACGTTACTGCAGTTATGCGCTGGCTGTCCTTCAGAGTGTGTGTGTAACTCACTGGAAGCTAACTGCAGTGGACGGAGTCTAGTATCTGTGCCCGCACTCACTTCTCTCCCGGAGGGCACACATACCCTCCTTCTGGCCAATAACCGCCTCTCCTCCCTTCCGGTCTCTGCCTTCGCCAACCTAAGCACCCTGGAGACACTCGACCTGTCCAATAACTATCTGGACAACCTGCCTTCCAGACTGTTCCGTGAGCTGAGTAACCTGAGCGATTTGAGTTTGCGTAACAACAGCCTGACGGTTTTGGATCGCGAGTTATTTCGCGGTCTGACCCATCTGCGGAGACTGGATCTGTCTCTGAACGGCTTGGCCGCTGTGCCTCTGGGCCTGCTGGATGAGCTGCAAGGGCTGACCTGGCTCTCCTTGGCTGGGAACAGACTTCACGCCCTGGAGAGAGCCACATTTGAGCCTCTCGCCAACCTTCAGCACCTGGAGCTGGGCATGAACCCCTGGGAGTGTGACTGCAACCTGAGAGACTTCAAACACTGGATGGAGTGGCTGATATATCGAGGTGAGGACGTGTGTGGGTGTTTTGATTCTCTGCAGGTGTACAAACACATCCTTTGAGCAGTAAGCCACACAAGGCTGTGCATTACTGGGATTTTACCTTAAGTAAGAGGTGTTCTTTGGCACGGTCCAAAGCGGACTGCCTAAAACACCTTTAAAGTCACTATCTTCAGTGACATATTGTGCCTATAAAGCGGCGAAAAAAAGCTTTATTAAGCCTTTAAACAGATTGAGCTGTAAGCTAATAGTAAGTGCATGTACACCAGACATATTGAAGGACATGTACCAACTCTCTCCCTAATAATTTCCTGTCTATCTTTTGTCTACCACTGGCAACGAAATGTGGCAAAACCCCAGAAATCATTGTGAAGCAGAGAAGCCTCTGCTTCTTATTCTCCATACTTCTCACTTTCCATTTTTCTCTGTCTTTCTCAATCCTTCTACTCTGAGTCAGAGAAACTCATTTCATTCTATTTCAGAGCAGCTTTGAGAGGGGGATTTGAAACAGACATGAGAGGCTGAGTCACAAAGCGTTTAGTGTGTGTGAGAAAGAGACTCCAGTCAAGGTGGGCTCTGACTCTCTTGGTCTGTTCCAAAACCTAGTGAGCTGCCTACGGAGGCAGCATTTTGAGGCATCATAGATGCTCTCTTGACATGAAGATAGGTATCTTACTTATGCCGCCTTCTGTATTGACCAAATTCAAAGGCAGCATTGCATGTTTATTTTCATGGAGATACCACAATAGAACAATTAAAAAGTATATATTATTCAATACTAAATAAATAAATAAAATAAATAGATTAGTGTAACAATTTTTTTTTAAATTATTTTACCCAATTTTTGTGTGTGCCATGTACTTAATGCATGCTGGATTATTGCATAATTAGTTTGATGAGATGCCATTGTCAAACTACATTAAAATCAAGCAAGCGTGGACTATACTGTGCACAAAAAAAAAAAAAGAATAAATAAAA